TTTCGCCCTCGGGGCTTGGGGCTGCTTGATGCGGGGTGGCCAGTGCAGTGCTCAGGATCCGTGCTTGCCACACAGGGATCGTCATGTTTGCTGTGGGTGTTGGCAAGGCTGTGGAAGAGGAGCTGCGAGCGATTGCCTCCGAGCCAGTGGAGCAGCACTTCTCCTACTCAGCTGACTTCACCACCATGACCCACCTCGTGGAGAACTTCAAGCTGAACATCTGCCCAGGTGGGTGCCCCTGGCCACACTGGGAGGCTCAGCCCCACGCCGGGGGAGCCCTCCTCTCCCCACAGAGCTAGTGGGGTGGCTTGTATGTCTGTCACCCTGTGTTGTGTACCCCAGGGCTGAGCTGGGCTGGTGTGACCCTAGGCTGCCTCTGGATATCACCAGGCTGTTGGGGTATAGAAGTGGGCCTCAGGGAGGGCTTTGGAAGAGGAGAAGGTGGAGTTGGGGGGTTTAATGCATGTAAGTGGCCACCTCAGCGTTGTTGCACAGGCAGAGGCTGGGGGCGCCCCCTGCCTTGAGGGGTGGATGCTGCCCCAGCTCCAAGGATGGCCCATCTTGTCCAGATCTGTGCTTCTGCTGCAGGGTGGAGGAGGACCAGGCCAGGTTACTGTGAGGGTGTCCCTGCTTTGGGGCAGGCTGGGGCTCCTCATTGTACTTGGGACCCCCGCAGGGCTGCAGACGTGGGGTCAGCATGTGCCCTGCCACCCAGCTTCAAGTCAAAGTGAAGCTCAGCATTGCTTGTCCTTGGCACACTGACCATGTGCGTGGCAGCTCTGCGGGTCACCTGGTGGGATGCCAGGCAGTGAGCCCGCTGGGCTAGCAGGGTGCAGCCTGGCGAAAAGGACCAAGGCTGGTAAAAAGGAGAAAATAAAGGAGAGAGCCCCAAGGCTCAGGTCCAGCCCCGGTGGGTGGCTGCAGGGACAAGGGCCTCGTGCTGTGCGGGAGCAGCGGAGAGCCGGGTGCCGTGGGGCCGTGGCTCTGACTGCACCCAAACCCCTGTGGTCGCAGAGGAGAGCAAAGGGGAGACCGAGATCCGCAGCCCGTGCGAGTGCGAGGCACTGGTGCAGTTCCAGACGAACACCGTGGCCATCCTGCAGAGCCTGACCGAGAAAAATATCCTTTGGGTCATTGCCTGGGCTTGCCAGGGTGCGGGGCAGGCAGGGGACAAGACCGCACACAGGGAGGGGAAGGATGGATAAATGGGAGCAGGGAAAATTTTAGGCTCCTGCAAGGGGAAAGAGCTCTTTGCCCACCAGAGCGTGTGGCTCACGCTGTTTCCTTAGCACGTTCACTTGCTCAGATGACAGCCAGACTCGAAGACTTGGAAAAGCAGATTGCCAAGAAGAAGTGATCCTTGCAGAGGGCTGCAGCGCTCAGACGGGGCCCGGGGTTGTACAGTAGCTACGTGGCATTGTTATTGCTAGGTTATTGTAAAGCATCAGTGTTTGTCCTTGTATTGCAAAATCCCAAGGGAGATGCGGAGTGTATTTCAGAAAACAAAAAAATCCTAGAAAAATAACCCAAAAAAGGACTTGAGCAAAGCCCCCCGCTGCGACGCCCAGGGCTTCAGCCGTTGTTGCTTTGTTCCTCCGCACTGGCAGGTCTGGGATGAGGTGGGATGTCTGCGTGGGCAGGCTGGGCTTTGGGCGAGCAGACATGACACCCAGCCTTTTCCCAGAGCAGCTGGGATGAACCGGCCCCTGCACAGCCCCTCTGGTCCCCAGCACCCAGCAAGCTGCTTTGCAAGAGAAAAATCCTACGGTGATCGCACCCTGAGGGCTTCTGCCGGCTCAGCGTCTGCTGCCAAGTGGGGGGGCGAGGAGAGGTGGGCAGCACGGGCAGCGTGCGGGGATGTGTGCCCCCGGCTCTGCCGGGGTGTGTGCCCGTGGGAAAGCGGGTGGCAGGAATTGTCGGATCTCGTCCCTGTTTTGGCAGAATTGTTTAGGAATCAGTCATTATCTTGTTTGGTTTTTAGTCACATAGCAAAATGGTACTAATTCTTTCTATAAATATCTATGTGTGTGTACATATATATATTTCAAGAGCAGGGTAGTGCTATTTTTAAACACTTCTTTTTATATATAGAAATTTCTTTCCTGACAATAAACACCCTGAAGATTTGTATGACATGTCCCTCTCCTTTTGCCAGGGCTGCGGAGGCATCTCTGCATCAGAGCAGGAACCTCTGGCTTTTGCAAAGGCCCATCCTCAGGCTCCAGAAATCCTTCTGGAACATCCTTGCTCTATGGGTACCCCAGGATGCTGCAGACTGGCCTTGGCTGGAAGGAGCTAGCACGGCACGAGTGCTGTGCCACTAGTCCTGGTGTTGGCTTTGGAGCCTGTGCTTGGTTGGTGCACGGGGAGCTCAGTGCCTGCTTTATGGGGGTGTAAATGTGCCAAGGCAGTGGAGCGGGGCCACTTACACCCACGGGAGATGTAGCCCTGGTGCCGGGACATGTCTGCTTGGGGCAGGAGAGCCACCGAGCTCCCTGGCTGGCTGCACGGGCAAGGATGCCGAGGCAGCCGGGGACCTGTCTCCCACAGGCGTGTGGTGTGGAGGTGGCTTTTTAGTGACAGAAGCCCCCATGTCCCACACCCAGGAGAAGTGGAGGTCTCCACTTAGCCCTGTGTCCTGCATGCAGGCAGAGGCTGC